CTTACTTTCTATATACTTATTTTATCAATTACTGAAGTCTCCATTTATAATTTTTGATTTGCTACATTTCCTGCCATTATATCAGTTTTTGCTTCATATATTTTGAAACTACTATTAAGTGCACAAAAGAATAAAGTTAGAGGCCTTATGCTACACGATTCCAAGACATACTATTAACCTACAGTAACCAAAACAGTGTGTTTTGGCATAAAAATACATACATAGATCAAAAAAAGATATCCACATATATACGGTCAAATTGATTTTCCAAAGAAGTGTCAAGCAATTCATTTGGAAAAGAAAAATCTTTTTGAAATGATGCTGGAAAAACTGAAGCAACATGCAAAAAAGTGAGCTAACCTTCATAGCACATCATATACAAAATTTGATGAAATGGATCATTGATCTAAATGTAAGGGCTAAATGTAAAACTTCTAGATAACAATATGAGATAAAATCTTGGTGATTTGGGTAAGATAAAAGTTTCTTAAATATGACACACACACACAAAACCTATATAATTAAAAAATAATTGATAAACCAGACTTTACCCGAATTTAAAATGTTTAAAAGACATTGGTAAGAAAAAAAGGCAAGGCACAGACTGGGAGAAATACTTGCAAAACATATGTATGATAAAGCACTTTTACATAAAATATACTCGTATAACTCATGAAAGAAAAGACAACTCAATTTAAAATTGACAAAAGATTTCAACCAACACTTCACCAAGGAATACATACAAACAGGAAGTATTTAGGGCAATGCAGTAAAAATATAAAAAGATACTATAACACATCCACAAGAATGGTTAAGATTTAAGTGACTGATGATACAAATGTTGGCATGGTTATGGAGTTATTACAACTCTCAAACATTGCTGATGGTAATGCAAACTGGTACAGCCACTTTGGAAAACAGTTTAGTAGTTAAACACGCACTTACCATATGACCCAGCAATTCACCTCTGAGATATCTACTCAAGAGAAATGAAAACATGTAGATATAAAGGTATGTTCCTAAATGTCCATAGCAGCTTTAAAAAAATATATTAGTTATAAGCTGGAAACAGCCCTATCACCTGGTGAATGGATAAAAAGATAACAATTTATCTGTATGATAGAATACTACTCAGCAATTGAAGGAGCAAACTATTTGATATGAGAACATAGATGAATCTCAGAAGTGTTATCTAAACTAAAAAAAAGGACACAAAGTCTACATAGTGTATGATTCCATTTATAAGAAATTCTAGAAGGCTAAAGTAAAGCAATAGAAAGCAAATCAGTCTTTGCCAGAGAGGAAATTAATTGCACAGGGGCAGGAGGGAACTTTTTGGGGTGATGGAAATGTTCTCTATCTTGATTGTGGTCATTTCATGATTATATGCATTTGTCAAAACTCATCAAATTGTCTACTTAAAATTGATGAGTATTATGTGTAAATTATACCTCATAAAAGCTGATATAAAAATACATTGAAAAGTTTTACCTGTTATTTAAAAAACTTTTTTTACAAATTGTTTTCAAGTTTATATCACACATACATTAAAAGCATACAAATCGTAAGTGTATTATCATACACTGTCAATGAATTAGCACACCCACATAAATACCACCTAGGGTAAGAGAACATTGTAAACACTCCAGAAGACCTACTCATTCCCTCCTTTCCAAAGATATTATCCAGCCTTGCAAAAGAGTAATTTGATATTGCTTGTTATTGAATTTTCACCTAAGAAAATTGTGTAGTTGAGTTAACCTTACCCAGAGGGGTCTAGCCTTTGCCGTAGGTTCCTGGGATTGATCTCTAAGCCTATATGGAATGTCCTGCCTGTTAGTGTCTGTTCCTTTGGCCAATTTAATTTGTATACTTTTGTTGAAATAAGCTGTGACCATGAACATAACAGTTTCAGTGAGTTCTGTGAGCCCTTCCAGTAAATTATCAAGAGGGAGCTCTTGGGAACCTCGGAACTTGCAGGTGGTGTTGCCAGGGATTCCTGAACTCTGCAGCTGCTGTCAGAAGTAGTAGTAGTCTTGGAGACATCTGAACTATACAGAAATCATATGGTATTTTGTGTGTGACTTCTTTTACTCATCATGTTTCTGAGATTCATTCAGAATGTAGCTTGTAAATATAGTTTATTTACTTTCATTGAGTTCAGTAACATTGAACTGACCATTATTTACTCACTCTACTGTTGGTGGACATTTGAATTGTTCCCATTTTACACTATTATTGATAGACCTAAAAAGGAAAAATAGAGAACTCCACAATCACAGTGGGGAATTTTGATACATCCGTCACAACTGGTAAGAACAAGCAGACAAAAAAATACCAAACAAACCAAAAAACCCAGTGAGAACTTAGTTTTTATTACATAGTTAACAAATTAGATTTGACATCTCCCAACACCTAAAACTACTATGTGCCTTCTTTGGGAGTAATAATAATAAACATTTCCCAAATGCATACTATGTTCTTATACTACTTTAGGAGCTCTACAAATATTACTTCAATCAATTCTTTATATCTCTTCTTACTTTATGGTTAAGAAAATTGAAAAATCGAAGTTAAGAAAGTTGCCCAGAGTCCCACAGTTTAAAGTGGCAGATTTAGAATTCAACTTAAGGAAATCTGGTTCAAGTGCCCAGTTCTGAATTCTTGTGCTACTTTTCAGTATTTTCCATATTCTATTTCTTTTTGAGTTAATTTTAATATTTGCAGCTTCCTAAAAAAATCACCTATTTCATCTACATTGTAAAACTTACTAGCATGAGTTGAACTTCAAAACTATGATATAATATCCTAGAATTTATACCTGAAATAAAACCATTTTTAGCCCTGTATTCTTTTTTCCTATATCATGAACCTTATGCATTCATCTGGAGGGAACAAGTATAATCTTGTACTGAAATTCCATGTTAAAAATAATCATATCTCATCTAAGACCTATTATTGACCACTACAGGTTTCTGAAAACTTGATGTTTGAAGATAAGCATCACTAAGATATATAGTTGTCCAGGCAGCCATCATTCACAAAAAACAGTTTTTCTTTAAGTGGTCCTAAGCATTACTACTACAAAGTAATGAACACTGGAAATAAAGTATTTAAAAAAATAAATAACTTCTCCTTCTGTGTGATAATTTAACCTATGGTTAACTTCCAACCTTTGTTCCTCCTGGAAACTTGACCTAATTGGTAAGTTAACTGGGTATCTATGAAATATTTGTAGATAAAAAATACTCCTTGATTGTACCTGGACTGGAGCAAACTATGAATGAACTAGAAACACCCAACGACACCAGAGCTTTGGCTCTAAGGGCATAATTAGGTCTGACTGACGATTCTAACTTTTGCTATTTAAATAAAGGAGTTAAAAGAACATATTTGGGTTGCCTTTAGCACCTGGATCAATGCATTGGGAATACCAATCAACTTGCGGTAATAAACTACAGCCAGAATTAATAGTTATTTTGGCCCTTTAAAAAAATCATCTTTTTTGGCTGGTAATTATAGATTTGCTTAGTTTATGTCACTGTATTCCTATTATGTTAACATGTGTGCGCAAGTTAGTTAGTAGTTTAAAACCTATACATGCTTAAGGTACTCTACAAGAAGATATGGCAAAGAAATATAATCAATCTTTCCATGTTTTCTTCCATCTGCTACCTCTATAGCTTTTCTTCTTCCTTCCTAATTACAACCCTTAAATAGAATTCATGCCTCATATCGAATTTACCGAGCATCATAATCCCTCCAGGTGGTAAAGATACCTCGAGACAAGTGCTGGGCATAGAAGCCACAGGGCATAAATCTGCAAAGAAGTAAAAAGCTAACCTTTTCAAACAATATGGCTACTCTCTCACTTACCAACTTTACATCTCCCTGTATGGCCCCAGAAGATGACTGGTTAGCCAGAGACGAGTAAGATTCCTCAAGGGAGGAACAACCTAAGACAGGCACAGTCGCAGGGGGGCCATCAGGTGAGAATTTGGGGATCAACAGAGGTGAGGCTCAGAACCTCACCCCCCCTGCTTTGAGAGAAATCTTCTGCATCCGTGGATGTCTTGCTGCCCTTGTCTAGCCTGGATTAATACTTAGTCCATAGGCACACACCTGATCATCTGATCATCTACATTTGCCTTCTTACAGCACTAAACTATGTTTTCTACCTTTATCTTGCATCTACCTACCACTTCAGCATTTTATTAAAAATAAAAATAATAATAATAATAGGAGAAATGTGGGATCAACATATAAATCAAGTACAAAAATCAAATGAATATTCATATTTGACCTGATGGTTTATAGGTCATATTGCATGATCAAAACCGAAAGTTTCTGTGATGACTGCCCTTGTACTGTTCACCATGTAAGAATTTATTCACT